CAAAAATGTAATTAATTCAGAAAATCTTTTCAGGACCCCACCTTGATGTTTCAGGACCCCACTTTGGGTCCCGACCCCAACTTTGGGAAACACTGCATTACAGGACCACTAGAAATAAGATTTAAATTATTTTCTGAAGCTGACAGGAAGAGAAGCTAMAACTGGAGAAATAGGATCTGTCCTGTTCACTGTAGCATCGTTTTGGATCAACTGAAGTCTTTTTAAAGTCTGTTTAAATAAATCGAAGTCACTGAATTTGTGGAAAAAAGTATTTTGTTAAAACCTTATCTTCTGAGCTCAGTATCTGATGTGTCATTATACTTCTGTTTATTAATAATCCTATTAAAAATCTACAGTGAAATTTGTATTTGTTTTAAATTAATTTTCAGTCTTTTTGTGTGATTATTCTCAAGCCATAATTTAAAAATTAAAACAGAAAGCTGATAAGGAGGATTATTATTATTCACACGTCATTAATTCAACTGTGCTCAAGCAGTCATTGAGCTACTGACATAAAAATATTAATGTGCTTTTATTTTGAAAGTCCCAGGCGGAAAGGAGGTGTTTATTACGTCTGTCTTGCCGCTGCTCAGCCCCCCTGACCCTCTCTCGGTCTCTGTTGCCATTCCGACGCACGTCTCTCGCGGAGGAGCAGCATCCTGGCGGAGTTGGACTTCTTGGTGGACTTCCAGACCCCCCATCAGAGAGCTGCGCCCAGGGGACTGAGCGCCTGGGTTCCGGTTCACGCCTGAGCTGCTGCTGCTGCTGGTGGTGGTGGTGGTGGGGGGGCAGGCAGGGAGATGCGCCCCTGGACTGAGGCTGGCTGTGGGTAAAGTCACACAAAGAGAAAAGGCGCAGCGTGACGCGCCTCCTGTAGCATCCAGCAGCCCGGGGACCGACCGGGTCTCTGCGGAGCCTTCGGGGCGAGAGACCCCCCCACCACAGACATGAGAACCGGGAGGGGAAGAAAAAGCCCGGCTTGAGTCTCCAGTCCGCTCGAGGAGGACTAGTCTGCACACCTTCCTTCATGTTGCAGTCTCCTGGTTTATGACAATGGATTACTTGCTGTGGGTCTGCAGCCTCCTGGTCCCCGCGGTCCTGGCAGTGGAAGGTAGGTTGGCTGGTCCATGATGTGATGAAGCATCATGATGTGACAGGAAGGCTGTTTGTGTCAGCTGGTGGAGGAAAGCCTCCTGCAGCAGCGGGATGGAGGGACGCGCCGCGCCGCGCCATGGTGTGTTTGTTTGTGTGTTTGTGTGTCTGACAGTTTAAACAACAACAATAATCCTGGTTCTGTTCATCAGAGCTCTTCATTAACCGGATCTGTCTCCATGGACCAGAGCTGGTCCGGGACCAGGTCTGCCTCGGTTCTTTGATTAAAGCTGTTAACGCGGCGCTGTTAAACCAGCCTTTGTGTTCAGGAGAGATCCGTGCGCGAGCGCGCGCGTGACACCATCCCACTCTTCATG